TTAAATAGAAGAGAAAAGCATGAAAGCAATGGTTTGATTATAAGATGAAACAGAAGCATTTCAGATGAAATGTATGAAAACACAGCCTATAAATCTACTACCCAACATTTAATAACTAGAAATATTCCTGATGGTTAAAGATGGATAAAAATTGTGTCTTTAAGCCCGATTTGTTTTTCTAAATGTGCCTGACCTCCACTACGAGCTGGTGGGCCACACTTACATTCCAACCTGTAGCAGGTGGAGAACTGCTGACGCTACCTGAGCTCAATGCTGCAGAGGTGAGCAGCGACTACCATGAAAACTGCCGAACAAGATGGAGTTGGAGTGCGATCTCCAGAGTAGAACAAGAACTATAATCACCATCTGCGGTCCAAGATGTTGGAGATGGCATCTGTGACCACTGACCACTCAAGCAAGATACTCGAGACAGTGGACTGACATCAAGGACCGCCGTAACAGCAATCCAAGCAGGCTCCTCGTCAGGAAACACGAGAAGGGAAGAACCCTTTAAGGAGTTTGTATGTGTTTTTACGTGTTTTGGAGTTTGTACGTGTTTTGGAGTTTGTACGTGTTTTGGAGTTTGTACGCGTTTTGGAGTTTGTACGCGTTTTGGAGTTTGTACGTGTTTTTTATGTGTTTTGGAGTTTGTACGTGCTTCAGGGTTCGTACGTGATTTGAAGTATGTACGTGCTTTGGGGCCACCGTAAATATACTTTTATTTATTCACTGCACATAAAATGTAATAAATAAATCATATAATACAAAAATCAACTATTCACATTTCAACTTTTAACTATTTAAATTTTCAGCTTTTTCCTTTTACAAATTTAAAGTGAAAAAACACAAAACACTGCAAACCACAACACAATTAAATATAAATTAAAATATGAAAACAAAAAGAACATGCATATTCTCTGTCATATGGGCCTGCATGAATAAACTTTCTGAATCCTTTGTCATCTGCAACTGAAAATAGTTGTGGATGATTACTATACCTTTCTAATGTGACGTTGTTGTCCCTGGCTCTCTTCCTCTCTCTCTCTCTCCCTCCTGCTCTGTTCCTGTGCTACTGCGAGTGTAACTACCGCCCCTCCCCCCTCTGCCCAGCGCAAGCACAAGGCTCATGTGCAGAGTGAAGCGGAAAAAAAGTGAGAGAGAGAGAGGGTGAGAGAGAAAAAAAAAAACAAAAAAAACAAAAAACGGCTAGCGATAAGGAGCCGGCTCGTGTCGTTCATGTCAAAGAACCGGCTCTAAGAGCCATTTTGTTCGCGACAGACCCATCACTAGTCCACTACTAAACTGTCTGTCTGAGACAACATGATCAATAAATAAATGAGACCTGATGACACAATTCTTACCCACCTTTAACCATTAGGAACATTTCTAGCTATGGAAAGTTAGGTAATAGATTTTTTTTATTTACAGGAGGATGGACTGATTTAGGGGCCATATCATACTGTTCACAGTAATACCGGTATAATGTTGGGCAACGATAGGAAAATGAAATATCGCAATAGAATATGGGTAAAACGCGCATTGCGCAGTGCTTTTGTTTTCATATGCACATGGTGGAAAAAGCATGGCGGCGAAAGCAGATCGTTGATTGAAACGGATGAACCAGAATTAGTTTGTAAAAATGCTGCAACTTCAGTTGGAACTGGTTTAGCTTTTGTCCGTCAGATACACAACAAGGCACTATTTTTGGTAGAGCATGCTAGCGGGCCGTCGTTATTACCGTGTTTTTTTGGAAAATACGGCACACTTAAAATCAATCCTTTGATTCTTCTGAAAATCGTCAGCGCCCCTTATAATCCCGTGTGCCTTAT